GGAGGCATTATGCTTCTAGAAAAATCTCAAGGAAAAGTATTGCAAACAATAGTAGTAGCTTTTGGGTCAGGCTCTAAAGGAAAAGATGGAGAGATTCAACCAGTTATCGTGAAAGTTGGAGATTAAGTTCTTCTCCCAGAATATGGAGGCACCAAAGTAGTTTTAGACACAAGAATTATTTCTTATTTAGAGATGGTGACATTCTTGTAGAATATGTGATTGAAATAAATCACTATTGAAATGGCATCATGTGAAGCTGCCCATTCCACTGCAGTTTTGAAATTTTTCATTATATAAATAATTTCAAAGTCTCTCATATAATTAATGATACCCAAACTAATGCTATCCGATGTCTGTAAAATTTAGGTTCAGTGCAGTGATATAAACATTACCAAATAAAAATACAGAAATGAGAAAAAAATTAAAACTTAGAGAAAAGTTGTAAGCACAAGTATGGCAACAAAAAACACTTATATAACATTTGGTCCAGGTTCATATTATCAACGTTTTACCACCCATGCTTTATCATTGCTCTGTTTACCTATCTAAACCTTTCTTTCTTTCCCTATCTCTCACCTATCTAATTATCTCTAATTTGCATATATCATTGCCCTATCTCTAAAGACCTCAATGTGTTTTTCATGAGAATAAGGATATAATTATATATAACTAAAATATAATTAATTTCTGACTTCAGTAAATTTATCATTGAGATAAAATACTTAACCTAATCTACAGTTTTTATTTCAAACTTGTCAGTCAAACCAATGTGCTTTATTACATTATTTTCCCCTCCAGTTCAGGATTCTAACTAAAATTGGGTCTTGTATTTAGTTGTCATATTTTTTTAATCTCCTTTAATCTAAATAATTTCCACATTATTTGTCTTTTATGTCATTGACATTTTTGAAGAAGACTTTTTTTAAATTTTTGATAAAGTAGTTATTTCAGGTCAGTTAACATTTTTTCATAAGTAGATTCCATTTACACATTTCTAGTGAGAATATTATATAGTTGCTGTTATGCTTTCCTCAGGTATCACATCTGGAAGCACACAATTTCCACTTAGTCTTAATTGATGATCCTAATTTTGATCACTTAGTCAAAATTGTTGTCTGATTTCTCCACTGTACGTGACTGTTTCTGATGTTGCAATTAAGAAACAATCCGTGAGTACAGACATACCTCAGAGATACTGCGTGTTCAGTTGCAGACTACCGCAATAAGGCAAATATCGCATTAAAGCAAGTCAGATGAATTTTTTGGTTTCCCAGTGCATAAAAAAAAATTATGTTTACACTGTACTGTAGTCTACTAAGTGTGCAATAGCACTATGTCTAAAAAAATGTACATACCTTAATTAAAAATACTTTATTACTAAAAAATGTTCACCATCATCTGAGTTTCAGCGAGTTATAGTCTTGTTGCTAAGGGAGGGTTTTGCCTCTGTGTTGATGGCTGTTGACTGGTTAGGGTGGTGGTCGGTGAAGGTTGGGGTGCTGGTGGCAGTTGCTTAAAATAAGACAACAGTGAAGTTTTCCATGTCAGTTGATTTTTCCTTTCACAAATGATTTCTTTGTAGCTTGTGATGCTGTTTGATAGCATTTTAGACACAGTAGAAGTTCTTTCAAACTTGGCATAAATTCTCTCAAACCCTGTCATGTCTTTGTCAACCAGGTTTACTTACTATTCTAAAAACTTTGTTGTCATTTCAGCAGTCTCTATGGCATCTTCACAAGGAATAGCGTTCAACTGAAAAAACCATTTTCTTTGCTCATCCATAAGAAGCAACTCTTGATCCATTTTAATTTTATCATGAGATTACATGATAATTTAAGGCTCCACTTCTAATTCTAGTTCTATTATTTTCACCACATCTGCAGTTACTTCCTCCACTGAAGTCTTGAACCTTCAATTTGTAAAAACACAAAATCTATGAATGGTAAAAAAGTGAAGCAAAATAAAATCAGGTATATCTGTATATACTTTAAAACCATGCCAGTATTTCACTCTTCATCAAAATTTCCCATGAGATTTAGCATCCATTCAAGATTGCCAGAACCAGTCTTTAATTGGTGACAATCTTTAAGATGCTGGCAAAATGTTGATTTTACAATTTTAGTACTCTCTCTACATTTCCCACGTACCACTGACCAATCAGTATCCTATAAACAAGAAGCTTTCCTTTGGCCTATTAATTTTATTTATATTCTTATGTATACATGTATGTATGTATATATGTATATGTGAATGTATTATTAGGCTGTGGGACCTTTTTCAAGCTCCTATGTCCTTATGACACAAGCCTATTATTTTTTAACCCTTCCTTAAATTCTGGCAAAACAAAATATTCAAGACCATACCTACCCTGCCCAGCCCTGAAATTAGCAAATTATCCAAGAAATTCTGGGTTCTTTTTAGTGGAGAATGGCACCAGAAACTAACAGGCAGTAGCTATATTTATTGCTATTAAGGTTTCTTTGCTTCTGATCCTTGCAACAGATAGAAGTAGAGAATGATTGCTTGTACATACACATATACCCATAACATTCACAAATTCATACACATATAACATACATGCATGCATACAAATGTAACAATGAGGATGTGTGTATATATATATGTATATGTGTATTTTTTTCATTTTGTAATATAGAATATAAATCTGTGTATTTTATTTAGCACTCATTTTCAAGTTACAGTTATGCCAAAACAGTCTGCTTCTAATGAAAGAAACCTTAATATAAACCTAAAAACATGCATATCTATTTAGTAGGATCTTCTTCATTTCTAAATAAATTTTGTCTGATAATACATTAACAAAGAATAGCAATATTAGAGTTCAGGATATTTATTTTTTTGTATGGAGACTTAATTACAGTACAACACATGCACACAAACCCACAAAGCAATGATGTGTAATAGGTAGTGAGACACACTTAAGCATATTTAAAATGCTTACAAACAGGCCTTTTTTTTTTTAGGCAACAAAATATTTTCAGTCCTTGTCACCTTCTAACATTCACCTAGCACCATAGATTCAAGAACTTACAGTAAATAGTCTCATACTTAAAATCATAAAGCATATATTGAATAGAATTGTTGAATATATAATATATAATAAATATATATAATAATATATAATCAATTTGCATAGATAACACTAGTTAAAACTGCAACTGAAGATTCAGTGTTCTTTTTTGCCTTTCCAGATTCCTTATTTGTATTTTCTTTCTTCTACACTGCAAATTCTGGTTCCTAATAACAGAAATGTGTTTATTCATTTTCTTATAGTACAGTAGTGTCAGAATTGCTTTAAGCATACCAATGCAAATAAGTAAGCATACTAAAAAGAGAATTCAGGTTTCTTTCTTTTTTTTAAATAAAAATTTTATTTATTTATTTGATAGACCAAAAACAGAACTCCCATTTTTTTATGTATAGATTATTGTTTTGTTTTTTTTTAAGATTTCATTTATTTATTTGACAGAGAGAGAGTGAGCATGAGCAGGGGGAGCAGCAGAGGGAGAGGGAGAGGGAGAAGCAGGCTTCCCACCGAGCAGGGGAGCTGGACATGGGGCTCCATCCCAACCCTGGGACCATGACCTGAGCTGAAGGCAGATGCTTAACTGAATGAGCCACCCAGGCGCCCCTTTATGTATAGATTCTAACATAGTTGTATACTTTTTAATATTATTCTAATGGTTGTATAGTGCTATCTCATTGAGATTTTAATTTGCAATTCAATAATGATTAACAATATGGAGCATTTTTTAATATACTTACTTGATGTTTGTACATCTTCTGTTCAAATAGTTTTGGTTAAGTAGGTTATCTTAATGAGTTGTAAGGTTTCTTTTATTGTTTAATATTATGTATTTAATAAAATGATACACACGTATTATTTTTCCCATTCTGTAGCTTGTACTTCATCTTCTTATTGATGTCTTTTAAGGACCAATAGCTTTTTAAAAGATTTTATAAAGTTCAGTGTTGCATCTTTTTTCTCCTATGCTTTTTTGTGTGTTATTTAAGAAATCTTAGCCTACTCCAAGTTTGTGAAATATTTTTCCAGATGTTTTGTAGTTTTAGCTCATTTTTTATTGATTGTCATAAGTAATAATTGACATATTTTCCTTTAATCCGTTGGGATATCCAGTTTTTCATTATTATTTGTTTCAAAGATATTTCATTTTCCTCTTGTTTTGTCTCAGTAGTTTTTTTTGGAAATTTATTGATCTTATACGTGCAGTTCCATTTACTAAAGTCTCTATTTTGTTCCATTAAACAATAGGTCTGTATTTCACCAATTCCATGCTGTCTTGATTACTGCAGCTATGTAGTAATTCTTGGAATCAGGCAGTGTAAAGCTACAACTTTACATATCTATACTTCCTAAGGAGATTTTTTTTTGAGTGATTGATATGTTCATTATCTTGGTTTTGCCACTGTATACTTATGTCAGAATTTATCAAGTTATCAAATTTAAGTGTGTGCATTTCATTGAATGTCAACTGTATCTCAATTAAAGATGTTAAGAAATGTGTTTGTCATAGGAGTAAGAAAGGTAGAGTGGATGCAGATGGCTTAAAGAAAATATCTTTGTCCTTAAAATAACTATATTACAGTTTTAAAAAAATCATCATTTTATTTTTTTTAAAACTTTTAAGATTTTATTTATTTATTTGAGAGAGAGAATGAGATAGAGAGAGAGAGAGCATGAGAGGGGGGAGGGTCCGAGGGAGGAGCAGACTCACTGCTGAGCAGGGAGCCTGATGCGGGACTCGATCCCAGGACTCCAGGATCATGACCTGAGCCGAAGGCAGTTGATTAACCAACTGAGCCACCCAGGCGCCCAAAAAATCATCATTTTAAAGGCAAATAAAGTATTGACCTATTTCCCAACCAAATACAATACTTTCTGTATCCAGTCTTTGGATTAATAATACTATATTATGACTATTTTGTGTATGGTTATGAAACCTGGACATTTCTTGCAGACATAAGTTTCATCTAATCTGGCGGCACTTCAGCCACTGTGCTGGAACAAGTCAAGGTATGTATTCCTGACTTAAAATTTAATTATTCAGTATTGTTGATTCCTGGGTTGCTCTTTACTCACCTTTGCTTTTGGGTCTCTTATTTAATTGAGATAAACCTAGAACCCCTTCAGTATTCAACTGCAGCAATTAGAATGGAACAACTTAATGGAGACAAAGAAGAAATGATAAATATAAGAACAAAAAGAAGTTCCTTACAGATGTTTTTAAGTTTTGATTTTGTTTTTAATGTTGAGGGATAATTAATAGGTGTGTATTTCTAATAGAATAAGGACTTATGAAAAGGGACTCTCCAAAACTTCATTATGTGGTATATTAATCAGGTTCCCATCCTTTCCTACTCCTCCCCGTCTCTTGCCCAATTTTAGCCAGCCACAGATAGTCTCTATTTTTAGTTTGAACATGCCAAACTCATTCCCTCTGACAAGAAATCTCTGATATTAAATGCTTTGGTTTAATCCTTATATTTCATTGAGGTCTCAGCTAAATATGTCAAATGTAACCACCTTCAGAAAGAAGCCTACTTTTATTTTTTATTTTTTTCTATTTTCAGAAGCTTACTTTTTTTTTTTTTAAGATCTTATTTATTTGACAGAGAGAGACACAGCGAGAGAGGGAACACAAGCAGGGGGAGTGGGAGAGGGAGAAGCAGGCTTCCCGCTGGGCAGGGAGGCCGATGCAGGGCTCCATCCCAGGACCCTGGGATCATGACCTGAACGGAAGGCAGATGCTTAATGACTGAGCCACCCAGGTGCCCCAAGAAGCCTACTTTTAATAACCCAATGTAACATAATTCCCAGCATCCACTATAATTTATTTGTTTATATCTGGAATTATAAAATTATACTTATTAAATAATTAAGTCATGGCACCTGGATGGCTCAGTCGGTTGGGCATCTGTCTTTGGCTCAGGTCATGATCCCGGAGTCCCAGGATCTAGCCCTGTGTTGGGCTCCCTGCTTGGCAGGGAGTCTGCTTCTCCCTCTGCCCCTCACCCCACTCATGCTCTCTCTCTCTCTCTCTCTCAAATAAATAAATAAAATCTTTAAAAAATAATTAATTAAGTAATTTATTTTGACACTGTCCACAATCCATATTTTTTCAATAGAATGAAAATTCTGTGAGGCATGGATCTTGCCCAACTTGTTTACCACCTCTGTGAAGATCCTTGAAGAGTGTGTACATACAGTATCCATTTAATAAATATTGACTAAATGTAATATATGACAATTGAAAATCATGTGGCTTTACTTTCTTTCTCTAATATCAGTTTTTCTTATATAAATGGGAAATGTTATAATTGTCATGTATATACAAAATGCTTTGTAATGAAAATAGTTAAGATAGTAAAAGCATCCTTTATTATTGTAAAGGAATATAATTATTGTGCTATTTATTTCTCTTGAAATGTATAGTTTTATTACTAAAGTCAGGAAAACTGAAAATTGACTCAATATGCTCACAAATTGAGTAATTATGGATTCTACTTTTTAAGAACATATAATTACTGCTCTTTTTAAGGAGGCACATAGTTTGTAGAAATCAGCATCTAACTAAAGGATTCAAACAAACTCAGAACAGAGAAAGGCTGTAGCTATGTATGTAATTGATTCGTTGAACATGAAATTCTTTTATTTTCTCTAATTACTGTTTCATGTAAAAATCTTTCCACTATGTGTAGTAAATATATTTGCGGCAGATCTCATGGTTTTTGGTTGCTGATAGTTGTTAAAAATCCCACTTCACCTTGTCACACTGATTCTGTCCAATAGGATGGCCTTTGCCAATATGGTGGTCTCTGTTTTATGATTTATGTGTTTAAAAATGATGATCATTCTCATGGGTAGCCTATATGATGAATTTATGAATGAAGGGGACTTGTTCACAGCAGGTAGTCTATGAAAATGAGCCTGTAGATTAAAAAACAAAAAATGAATGTTCATCTTTAGAGATCTAGCTAATTTTTAAATGTACAAAAACCTGCTATTGCTAGTCAGTAAAATCAGTAAAATCATAAAGATGCTATGCTCAGTCACTTTTCTTGAGAACCTATTAGTTTGATGTCATCACATTTGGATAATACTAGTTATCAGTTTAATACAGCTTGATAAAAGCAGAGCTGTATTTATTTTTTTTAAGATTTTATTTATTTGAGACAAAGAGAGAGAGAGCACATGAGAAGGGGGAGGGTCAGAGGGAAAAGCAGATTCCCTGCTGAGCAGGGAGCCTGATGTGGGACTCTATCCAGGGACTCCAGGATCATGACCTGAGCCGAAGGCAGTTGCTTAACCAACTGAGCCACCCAGGCGCCCCAAAACAGAGCTATATTTAAAGTGAATTTTAGGGATGCCTGGGTGGCTCAGTCTGTTAAGCATCTGCCTTGGCTCAGATCATGATCCCAGGGTCCTGGGATTGAGTCCCACATTGAGCTCTCTGATCAGCGGGAAGCCTGTTTCTCCCTCTGCCTGCTCTGCCTGCCGCTCCCCTTGCTTGTGTGCACTCTCTCTCTCAGAAATAAATAAGATCTAGGGTGCCTGGGTGGCTCAGATGGTTAAGCGTCTGCCTTCGGCTCAGGTCACGATCCCAGAGTCCTGGGATCAAGTCCCACATCGGGCTCCCTGCTCCTTGGGAGCCTGCTTCTCCCTCTGCCTCTCTGTCTCTCATGAATAAATAAATAAAATCTTTAAAAAAAAAAAAAAAAGAAAGAAAGAAGATCTTTAAAAAAATAAAAATAAAGTGAATTTTATGTTTGACTATATGCAGTATTAGCAACAACACAAAAGAAGAATGCCTGTAGTTTGCAGGGAAGTATACTTTCAGAGAAGTATATTGGAAAAAGAAACAGAAATAGCAAAAACAGATATTACCTATATTTTATTTTTAAAGATGACTTTTTAAAGTCAGTCTCTCACTGATGGGAGAAGAAAAAAAAGTCCTTAAAAATAAGATATAGGCGGGCGCCTGGGTGGCTCAGTCGGTTGAGCGACTGCCTTCGGCTCAGGTCATGATCCTGGAGTCCCGGGATCGAGTCCCGCATCCGGCTCCCTGCTCAGCAGGGAGTCTGCTTCTCCCTCTGACCCTCCCCTCTCTCATATGCTCTCTCTCTCTCTCATTCTTTCTCTCAAATAAATAAATAAAATCTTTAAAAAAAAAAATAAGATATAGGCAATACCTGTTTAATTAGCTTTGTTGTATTTATATTCTCTTTTAAAAAATCTTACATGTGTGTATTTTTTGCAGTACACAGTTAAGTTGTCTATACAATTTGAATATATAATAGCTTTAAAAAGTGTTAAATTGTTTTATCAAAAGAAAGAAATATAAAATGTTGTAATATTTTTCTCATACATATTTTTAAATAATCCTACTAGTAATTTCTACTGATTGTCACTCTTAAGTAGTTTGTGTTTTTTTGTTTAAATAATAGAATTTATGTAACAAAAATACAGAATAATTTCATATATAAAAGTATAACATAATTTCAAAAGAATATTTTCATATTTCATGTTAATATAATTTTGTGTATGTTTATTACATACTATATCTTAGTGGTTTTTGGACAAAGTCAAGTATGACTGTGCCTCAGGTTGGTGTCTGAAAAGTTGGTCACTGTACCCCTGATGCTGACATCACAGTCAGAAAAACTTTTATTTATTTATTTATTTAGCCTTTGTAGCTCTTCATTCAAAGTGCCTTAATGCAGAATGTTTAAGTTTTATATAAAAAAGAGTACTCTGGTTCCCATTAAGGCTCTAAAGTTGGAGATGCTCCAAACATATGCTAGGAAAACTTAAAAAAAAAAAAAAAGAAAGAAAGAAAATTAACATACACTGCAGGAACTAATATTTGTGATAGAAAACCATTTCTCAGAAGCTCATCAAATTCTTCAATTTCACTTTTTTATTATTTAATTCAAGTAAACTTTACTAGTTTCCAATTAAATATAGCATGTATAATGTCACCATTTTAAAGATTTTGTGTCTGTATTTATAGACTATCCTATCACTCTGTCTTTCACATATGAAATACAGAATGTCTGAAGCCCTGTTTGCCGTGTATTAACACTAATTGTTTTGAGGTGAGGAAATTTGAAGTAGGTTCCTTTTTCTTCTCCATACTACTTGAATTTGTAATAATAAACATGGGTATTTATGAGAGAAGCCATAAAAATCATTGATACTACCCAAAAAGGTTAAAAAATACTGCACTCATAAATGCTGACAGTTGTGTAAATTGATAGAACTGCTATTGGTAGTAAAGTCAAAGTAAATTAATTTTTTTTTATCTTTGATTTAGCAATCCCATTTCGGTGAATCTAGCCTGAAGAATTTAAGAACAGTACATTAAGAAATTTCAAAAATACATTTACAACCCCATGGTTGGCAAAAGCAAAATATTAGAAAACTTCTTCATTTCATTTAATTGAAGAGTAAGTATTTAGATATGATAATTCTTTACTCTGGGATACTCTGCAATCCCTAAAAATAATGAGGTACATCTATGTGTTCTAATTCAGAAGATTGTGATAGACTGTAAAGAGAAAAAAAATAAAATAAGTTTAAAACGTGCTAGAAATTTTGGTGTCTGGATGGCTCAGTTGGTTAAGCGTCTGCCTTAGGCTCTGGTCATGATCTCAGGTTCCTGGGATCCAGCCCTACATCAGGCTCTCTGCTCAGCAGGGGGTCGACTTCTCCTCCTCCCTCTGTGCTCTCTCTCTGTCTCAAGTAAATAAGTAAAAATCTTTTTAAAAAATGTGCTAGAAATTGTTGTAGCAATTTACATATATGGACCTAGGTACTTAGAGCATCCCCATAACCTAAGTCTCCTTTTTACCCCCAGTTTACAGATGAGCATACTAAGTAACTGAGAATGTAACTTGCTCCTTTGACAGAGATGCTAAGAACAGTCTGGCTCCATTGCTGTCTCTTACAACCCTTTGTTGTAACACTTGAGCTAATGTATACAGTATAATTCCACTTTTGTGTGAAGGAGTGAGGGACAACTGTGTTTAGAGACACAACAGACAAGGACAGAGAAGTCAAGATCAAGGTCTATATTTACATCTACAAAAGAAGCATGTAACATTTGACCCAAGTCAGCCACATAATTATCTGAAGAGAAGGAAAATTCTCCTTCTTTCTGTATGATATTTTGTAGGGTTTTTTGTTTTTGTTTTTGTTTTTTTTACTTCTCTGAAACTTTCAGTGAGAATAAATCATTAAATAAAAATGAAAAATCTTTTCATGGGTGGTAATATCCACCTGAGTTGAAAATTACTTAAGTTTATAACGCAGCAGCTTCTAGCTGAGTGATAGATAAGAGGAGACTGTGTCAAAGTTGGCAAGTAGTACCTTGCTTAATCCTTCAAGTATGCTGAGTAAGCAACAATATGTGTTTTCTTTAGATTTTTCTCATGATATTCCAATATTAACTGTGGGCATTTTTTTCTTCTCACTTAGATAAGGCCCCAGTGCACAATATTGAACTATCTTCTACCTTCACCCACGCTCAGAAGAACTACAGAGGAAAGGTTTTAGTGTATTCATCTACCTGAAAAGAAGACCCAGTATTTCCTAAAATATTTCTGTGAATTTAGAAAATATTGTATTGGGATTTGTTTCCTAAGTATTATAAAGGCCTTTGGAGTTATGACCTATAATTCATCCCAAACCATCCAAAACCACAAAAACAGTGTAATATCATGGCTCTTGACATAGACTTTGGTGATAAACAGGCTTGAGAGACAATTCTAGGTCTGTTCTCACTACCCATGAGACTTGGGCAACTTGTATTTTTGAGTCTAATGTACATAATAATACCACCAATCTCATTAGTTTGCTGTGCAGATTAAATGAGATTATAAAAGTTTTAAGTGCAGTAAATTCCTGGGAAACAGTAAGAGGTAATACCTAGCTTTATTAATGATTGTATTCATGCAAAGATTGTTATGCACAAATCATATATATGAGAACACATACACGGTTAAGAGAGTAAGATGAAAAGGAGACAAAGTAGTGTAGCATGTGTCAATCTAAATAAAAAGGTAAACTGAAGCAAGCTCAAATTACCAGAAATTGAGTTTATTGACGAAATTCAAGAATAGCCAGAGAATTGCAGTTTGGGACATGCAAACAGTAGCAAGCTACAGGCAAGTCCTTTGAAAGTTTGGGGTAGATTTTATTTATGCGCAAAGAGTGCACGGTAGGAGGTTGGGGGAGGGAGTCTAGCCAGAGTCCAAGCAGTGAGTTCATGAGCTTGAAGATGGAGAGAGATTCTTGATGGATGTTTCTGGGTCAGGAGATAAGTTTTGGTCTTCTCTAAATCAGGCATTTACAAGAAATCAGTCTCTCAGTTCTTAAAAGTTTTGTTTTCCTGAGAGTAGATGCATGAGATTTTTCTAGTTCCATTTTAGATTGAAATTCTTTCTCACGTTAAATTACTGATTTATTCAATAGCCCACTAGTAGATACCAGAGGAGATCCCAATTTTATAAGTGACACAGACCAATACAAAACATATACAAAGCACAATGATAAGTGCCATAATAGAATCATAGACATGTTTAGAGCAGAACCACATAAAGGACTTAAACTAAACTGGAGTGATTAGGAAAGATCTTTTAGGGCTGCTGGTTGACCGAGCCTCTGTGGACAAGTAGAGAAGGTATTTTATGCAAAGGCAACAAATTGCCTAAAGGCAAGAAAAAGCATGGATGCCTAGGGATTGGGGCATAATTTGTTTTTACTAGAGGGTAGGGATACCAGTGAAAGAAATGCAAGAGATTCAAATGAGAAAAGTAGTCAGAAGATGAAGGGCCATTATGCCATGCTGAATTTTCATTTGTATCCATTAGATGATGGGGCATAATTTGGCAAAACCAAAATGTTTGTAGTTTTTAAGCAAGAACTAATTCGGCATATATTTTGGAATGCTCACTCAAAAATGAGTTGTAGAGGTCATACTGGGAAGCAGAAATCCATTGGGGGGAAAAGTGGATTCAGAGATGTAAGGGATTCAGCTTTTAGTTTTGGCTTATGCATTAACCAGTTGGCCTGAACTCAATCAAGTTTTTTACTTCTTTGTTCTTCAGTTTTATGAAAATAAAGAAAGGTATTAGATAACTTAAAAAGTATTGTCAAGCACTGATATTCTTTATATATTATTACAAAACATGGAATTATCTTCTCAAATGGCAAATTCTTACCTCAACTAGCAATTTCTGGGTAAATAGGTGTTCTGTCACTCAATTCCATTCCACTACAGGGGATGAATTCCACCCACAGAACGTTAAGCAACTCTCCAGACACCAGCTATGTCCTACAATTTGATTCAGTTCGAACACGACCTACCAGGAGATAGTATCAGATTCCACCGGTGAAGGGTTCAGTCCTATAAGACTACCTTGTCCCCCAATCAAAAATCCAGATTATTATCCGGACTTCTGACTCACTGGCTACAGACTAGAAGTTCCAAAGACCTCCTCCTTGGGTTTGATTAACTTGCTAGAACATCTTTTCTGATTTGCTAGAACTCAGAGAAACATTTTAATTACCAGATGGTGGGTTCATTATAAAAGAATATAACTTAGGAATGGCTAGTTGGAAGAGATGCATAGGATAACATATGAGGAAAAGGCACAGAGCTTCATGACTTCTCCAGGTGTGCCACTTACCTGGCACCTCTGTGTCTACCATCCCAGAGCTCTTTGAACCCTGCATTTTGAGTTTTTATGGAGGCTTCATTAGGTAGTCATGACTAATTAAATAACTGACCACTGGCAGTTTATTCAGCCTGGTGCTCCTCTTCCCTCCCTGGAGTTTGGGGGTGGATGCTGAAAGTTCCAGCCTCTTAATGATAAGAGATTCCTTTGGCAACCAGCCTCCATCCGTAGGTCACCTAAAGGCTTTTCCCAGAAGTCACTCATTAACATAACAAAAGACACCTTTATTGCTCTTATCACAGGAAATTCCAAGGGTTTCAGAAGCTCTGTACCTGGAATAGGGTTGAGGACCAAATACATTTATTCGTACCAGAACTAATTCTATTTTGAAGGCCCCCCTTCTTTTCTGCCTTGAATTGTTTGAAAGTAAGGTAATCTGTACTTAAGAAACCCTGACCTACAACATAAATCAAGCTGTGTCAACATTCGTGCATGTAACTGAAACAGAGTCTAAAGCTTAAAGTGTATCCAAGACAGTAATATTGTTTAAAGCTCTATAGGGAACTAAAAGAATGCTACTGACACTAATCCGAAAGCACAAGACATGGGTGGCTCAGCTGGTTAAGTATCTGCCCCTGGCTTAGGTCGTGATCTCAGAGTCCTGGGATCCAGCCCCACATCAGGCTCTCTGCTCACCAGGGAGCCTGCTTCTTCTTCTCCCTGTATATACAGCTCCCCCTACTTGTGCTCTCTCTCTCTCTCCCCCTTTTTCCTCTCTCCCTCTCTCTCTGTCAAATAAATAAAATCTTTAAAAAAAAAAAAACACACAAGACAATCATGTGACCACAACCAGGGACTTGATCAAGACAAACAGATAACCACAACTAGAGCCTACAAGTTCCTCTGAAGAGTTATAATTAATCTTTGATTTCATCTGTTTAACCCTTGAGACTTATTTCCCCTTCCTTTCCCCTTTAAAATCTCCTGCCTGCACCAAGGTGGTAAGCTGGTTATTTGACACATTAGTCTGCCATTTTCTCAGGTAGCTAGCTTTCTGGAATTAAGTTGTATTCTTGGCTTTGATAACTTGTCCCTTTGATGAAGTTTTAGAATATATCTGAGGTTCGGTGGGGTGAGGTCCGGAGCCACTGACCAAGAAAAAATTCTTGAGACGTCTTTTGTGCAAAATGGTGGTTTTATTAAAACATGGGGACAGGACCCGTGGGCAGAAAGAGCTGCTCCACCGGGGTTGTGAGGCATGGCTGATTATATACTCAGGAGTTAGGGAAGTTAGGAAAAAGGGGGTGTCCAGAAGGACTGTCATATGCTAAATACTCTCAGGTTGTGAGAGGCCTGGTTATTGTCAAGCCAAGGCTGTTTTTCCCTCTAATGAGGCACTAACATGAACAGTTGGGAATTTCCTGGAGGAATGTTACATTCCTCCTATCACACATCCTTGTTAATGAATGGGCTTTAGGTTTAGAAGAAATTCAATTGTATTTACATTTCCTTCTGCCTCAGCCTTCTTCAATTTTATGGAGGCGGGGGAGGGTGATGTTAGGGCTTTAGGAAAGTGAGTTATGGGTCTCTGGAAGTTAGGCTACTTCCTTGTAAATCACTAGGACATTTGTAAACTGAGGGAGACTCCCGTCCTGCAGGACTGTAATCTCTATCCATTTGTTAACCATTTGTTCTTCCTTTAGGGCAGCCAGG